CCCTCCTCCTCCCTCCTCCGCTTTTTTTTTCCGCTCCTCTCCTCCTCCTCCTCCTCTTTCCGCTTTCCGCTCCTCTGACGGCGGCCCCCGAGGGAACCACCGCAATCCGAACGCCTCCACTACACGCCGAGGAAGCCTCAGGACTGCCTACACACTCCAGGCTCCCTACTCCGAATCCTCCCAGCGGATGTCCCGCCTCTCGCCCAAGACCTCATACAGCCCCCGAGCCCACCCGACGCGGCGGGGATGGAGAGGGGGCTGCACGGGGCAAGAGCGGGGGATGGGCCGCTTGGAGGAGGGGTCCAGCCCCTGCTTTAATTGGCGCAAGGCCCGTGCTCGGCCGTCCGTGGGGTGTCCTGCGCAGCGGTCCGCGAGGGCCAAAATCTGCCGCCTGGCATACGCCCCGCACACACAGCACCACACAAGACCGCCAGGACCCCCCGAGCACAGGAGCCTGTGAGACCAATGTGCCTGAGCCAGCTTCGCCATGACCCCAGGGCACCTGTCGTGCACCAGCCTGGCTCGAGTCGAGCAGCTGCGGCCACAACTCAAGCACACCCAGCGGTCTCCAGAATACTTGGCCTGATGCCCTTTGGGATCCGACACGAGCTCGAGCGGGCCGAAAGCGCGACGGAGCCGAGGTTTGAGAGCATCGGGGAAAGAAGAGGCGGCGAGGTGCGCGAGGATCCTGCCCGAGTAGAGGGCAACGAAATAGGCCGACCACCACAAAAGCGGCCTCAACTCCTCTACCTCCTCAGAAAAAGGGTGCAACCTCGCGCCTTTCTTGGCATACACATCAGCTAGCTTATTAGCTCTGTAGTGAAGCCACGGGACCCCTTGTGCCTGTGCATGAGTCCAGGATTCGTGGCTTCGCATCCAGTGCAAGTGAATCTGCTCAAGACCTATCTCGTCGATCTTAAACCAAATCTTGCACCAAACTTCAGAATACACCTTCGTGGGACGGCAGCACGCTTCAGGCCCTGCCGCCACACCATCGATGAGAGACTTACAATCGGTGACGACAGTAACCTCGCCTACACAATTGCACAGACACATATAAAAAGCCCAGAGCTCTGCTGCTCCGATCTCCTGCAAGACTCCAGGGTGGGGCCCAAATATGGCTCCTTCCGAGTTCCCATGGCGGTCTATCTTCACGCAAGACCAGCCAGCCCTAGAAGCCAGAGGAAAATTGGGCGCCAAACAGGACCCGTCGATGCCAACGAGACCTGAGAGGGCCCCTCCCACCATGGGCCCGTCATACTCCACGAGCCCATCGAGCCTCGGGGGAGGTTGGAGGTCAAGCAAAGAGTCCACGAGGCCCCTGTGGAGGAGGGGATCCTGATGCTCGCATTCTCTGCCAGCACGCGTGACGTCGTCCAGGTCAAGCTCGCGTCTGACCACAGCACTGAATTCACATCTGAACAAACGATGCCCCTCGTCTCCTGGCTCCGCCTTGCAGACCTGACACAAGGGCGAGTCGACGGACCGTGCCGCGAAGAGGCGCGCCTGAGTCCAGAGCCCCCCCGCGACATGGGTTCCGAGGAGCTGCGCCGCCGTCTTGAATCCCTCACGTCGAAGCTGCTGCTGAGCCTGACGGATGGGCTCCAGGAGAGGGGGTCCCCCCAGGTTTTCCAAACCAGGGGGCCCAGGGAGGCACCGTAGGAGCGCAAGCTCCGTTCCTAAATCGACAACTTTTCGAAGCGAGCCAGGGTGGACCTCCGTCAGATCAACCAGCACCCCACCCGCCTCCCACCTCGACTCACTCTGCGGCGTCCAACCCAGGCGCTTCAAGGTGGCCAAAACAGCCGAGCAGGGCCCACGGACCCTGCCGTTAAACTTAGCAAACGCTTTGGCAAAAAGGGACCCCAAGATATCTCTCGACAACCAACCCTCGACGATCGCGCGCCCCCAGAACACCAGCGGCAAGGCGTTGGCCGCATACGCGGGATCGGACTTGGGGTCCTCGCTGAGAAAAAATTGCAACGAGCGGCTCTTGCCAGCCGACGGCCCAAACAGCGCCGACCCAGCAGCAACCCTCAGGGAGGAGAGATCCGCGTTACTCATTCCCGTCACTCTGGTACCATACAGGGCCGCGGGAGCTCCTCCTGCCTTGAATATCCGAGATAGCCCCTTTCGCGACGAGCTGAGTAACCGAAACCTGCGAATCCTTTTTCTAACGCTCAGAATCCGACCCTTCTGGACCCTGCGTGCCGCCCTTGAACACGAAAAGTCAATCCCAAGATTCTTGACCCCGTCGACGACCACGAAGTTCCACCGACGAAGCCTGCTGGATATAGCCTTACCCATGGTCCTGGACGACGCAACGATTCTATTCTTAGTGGGAGACACTTTCAGTCCTAGATCCTCCAGCTTGCTGCACAAAGCGTGGAGCGCTCGTACCAGCCCACGAAATACCATCTCGGCTGGCCCGATCACTGACAACGTACAGTCATCCACCACTAGGTAGGCAGAGATGTTGACGGCGAGAGGGATGACCGAGTCAAGAGTACTGGTGAGGTACAGACGGAGGAGCATCGTAGCATATGCACACCCTGCGAGGATACCTTGAGCAACTCTAAACCACTCCGAAACGAATAGCCCCACCTGCAGAACCCTAGGGGCGCTGTACATAGTGACCAGGAGGGCGACTCTGCGCGGGCTGAAACTGTGCTGCACCGCGAAATCCAAAAGGCGAACGTGTCCGACATGCTCATACGCCTTCTGAAGATCAACCAGGCCTGAGGCAGAAGACTGGTTGTGATGAGAGGCCCACTCGTTCATAGCGGACTGAACCCAGACCGCCCTCTCACAACTCTTCCCCTGCGTGGCGTAGACCCAATCCCTCTCATGCTCCCTCTCCCACTGCTTAGCCTCAGACTTCCTGCAGGCCGAGAGAACGCGCATGCACGTGGTCAAGATGCCGATTGGGCGCCTCCCCCCTTCTGGTTTCAGTAAAAACCCAATGACAATCTTCCACAACTGAAACGGGAAGGCGACCAGCCTCTCCATCTGCCACAAGAGGGTGGAAAACGCCAGAAGCCCGTCGTCGGACAACTGGTTCAGGACGTGCGGGTGCCAACCGTCTGCTCCCACTGCCGTCCACTTCTTAAACTTGCCGAGTGTCCTCCTCAGGAGCGGCAACTCGATAGGCTGCGGGGTCGGGTCGAGGTCGAGCGCCTGTATGTGCTGCCGAATAACCGCGAGACGGTCCAGCTCACTTACACTAGATTTCCACCCCCAGATCCCCTGCCACTCCTGGGTGAGGCCCTCCAGGAGCTGATAGGTTCCCCAAGGGGCCCCACCAGCACTCTCGTCAGGAGCCCAGGCCCGGGGGATCTTAGTGACCTTGTGAGCCAGACCCCCCCCCCTTGAACAGAACGAGCAACGTGCTCCCGCCAGTTCTTGGCCCTGGACTTCGCGAAGATGCTTTCGATCCTGTGGGCCTCGCTCTGGGCCCTGACGATGAATGACTCCAGATTAAGATCGGGATGTATATCCAGGGTCCCAAGATCCGTTCTGAAGCTGTTCCAGACTGGGTCCTGCTTGAGTCGCCCCGACCAATCCAGAAGCTTACGCCGAAGACCCAAGGCGTCCCTAGATTCGCACTGCCTTTTCCTGACCAGATACTGCAACTCTTGCAAACGATTCTGGATCAGCCTCCAAGCTCTAGCCTCGGGGGGCGCCTTAGGGTAACAGCCTCCAGACTTAGGTAAAACTGGCCGCCTAACAACCGAAGCTCCACGTCCTCGGCCACTGCACCGCCTAGCTTCACTCGTCTCCAGACCGTGCAGGAGAGAGAGCTCGTCCTCTGCGGCGTCACAGGACGAGAGGTAGGCAGACGGCAGGTCGAATTCGCTATTCACATCATCGACGATGGTGCGCACAGCCTCCCATGACTTACCTAACGGGCGAGGACCGAAGGGGAGCTCTAGCGGGAACTGCTTGGGCAGCTTGAGGGAGGGCAACTCCAAGGCACACGGCTTGCCTGAGACCTCCATGTTGACAGCCCAATGCGGGGCCGTACTACAATCCTCCTGCCGACGACAGTTCTTCACCGAATGCAAAAACCCCGCAGACACGACGAAATAATCCAGACAGCTCCAGGTGGTGGAGGACCCCGAGCTCCGACAAGTGTAGGCCCCTGTGGTGACGATAGAGCCTCCTACCGCCGACGGCCATCCTGAGGCCCCTAACATTTCAGGCGCCACGTTCCAGTCACCCCCGAGAATGAACGGCTGCCCCATGGCCTTCAAGGCCTCGCCCAGCTGCTTCAGGATCAGAAAACTCTGGTCATCGAGGCCCCCGCCAGAGACCAAATAAACCGACCCAGCAATAAAGCCTCCAGGAACCAAGCCGTTGACCCACATGAGGAGAACCCGCTCAGAGGGCCAAGGGCGCTTCGGGACAGGAGCCTCGCAGAGGCCAATGTGAGGCCACGTGCCCACCAACGCGCCCCCTGAGAGGCCTCCTCCCGTGTCCCGAGAGGGCGCAGCCTTGGCCTTCCAACCTAGGCGACCTACTGCTGCTTCGCGATCAGGCTGCAGCTCAGGAGCGATGGCCACCTCCTGCAGCATGACCACGTCGGCGTCGCACTCATTCTCAAGGAACCACTGCACGCTGCTCCAGCTGGTGGTGTTGCAGGTGCAGAACTTCCAACACTTGGGTGAAGCTGAAGCCGCCGTAGGACCATCTCCAGCTTCGCGTTCTCGCCATAATTCTTGCCGATCCGACAAAGGGTTTGGACGGGATGTGGCGCCCGCTGGGTCCGCGGACGCCGCCTCGCAGACACTGGCGGGGCAATCAAAGGGTGCCCCCAACTTCTGACCCACCTCGTCGCTGGACGTGCCGCTGTCCAGCTCCAGTTGGTGGCTACCCCCGCGGCCTGGCCCCGCGGGCGTCGCGGCGTCCCGCAGTGTGGGCGCGGCCAGCGCCCCCCGCGGGCGCCGACTGCACCTCTGGGTCTCGCCCCTGGGAGCGGCTGCGTCCCCTCGCGTCGGGCAGCCTCCCTTGGTCAGTTGCTCGAGCGCGAGCCCTTGTGGCTTCGTCCTGCACGCGCTGGTCCGCCGCCACGAAGAGCTGCCCCCCAGCTGCAAGGGCACGAGGGGGGGAGCCATGGGCTCGTCCGAGTCGGAGTCGTCGGCACCTGCCGCGTCCCAGGCTTGTCCTCCAGGATGTCCTGATGCCGCCGCGAACTCCTGGGTCTGCCGACACAGCGCCGCGGCCACCTCCTGCCCGCCGCCTGGGGAATGAGGCTGTCGTACAGCTGCTGGCGAGGCCCCACGCGCAGGCTCCGCATCAGCACGCACAGCAGGTCCCGCGCCCATCCCAGGCGCCGCGCCCGCTCCGGCCGCAGCCCCCACGACTGCCCCGAGGAGCCGCTCGCAAGCCTCGACCAGCGCCGCGACCGCTGGGGGAGCGTCCCCCCCCACCGCGGCGCGCGCCTGGCCGAAGGCGGTCTGGGCTGCACGCACCTCTGGGCCGAGCTGCGCCGCCCCTGGCGCCAAGGCCACGGAGGCCCGCGCCCTGGCGGCGGCGTACTCCTCCTCCAGGCCTCGCACCGCCTCCCGCTGGTCGGCGACCTGCACCATGATGTCGGTGGCCGACTGCTCCAGCTTCTGGAGGCGACCGCGGGCTCCCAGCAGCTGGTTGGAGAGCGAGCTGACATCCTGCGAGGCTTGCCAGGCGTCCCAGGCAGGTTGCGCCAGCCCAGACTCCGCCATGGCGCGGCGGTGCAGCAACTTGTCACGCTGTGACTGGGAAAGCACACCACTGAGGGAACGGAACTCCTCATCACTGAGCCCGAGCCACACGCGCTGCTCGTCCTCGGTGAGCGCCCGCGGCTTTGGCCCAGCGCCTGCGCCCCCACGAAGTTGGCCACGAGCTGGGTCAGCCCATGCACCACCAGGAGCACGAGGAAGGGCATGTTGGGGCGCCTTGGGCTTGGGCGCCCCGCAAATGTGGCACTCGGTGCGCCACTCGAAGTTGTCCTTGCACGAACAGCGCTTGGCCGCACATGCCCATGCATTCCGTAGCCACCCATTGCCTCCCTTAGCCATCGGATGCCGAGGGACAGAAACAACTATGAAAGCTCAGAAGAGCAGGCCTGGTGGCAGGGCAGCACACCAGGAAATCACACGCCAAAATCACCCGAGCCTTGAGCCAAAATGGCTTGAGCCAAAATGGCTACGGAGTTCTCCTCCTCCTCCTCCTCCTCCTCCTCCTCCTCCTCCTCCTCCTCTTCGCGGCAAGGCTCTCCTTCTCGTCGGAGTCCAGAGGGCTGCCCAGGTCCTCCTCCCTGGAAGGCTGGAGAAACTGGAGCTTCGCGATGTTGTAGCCTCGCGGGCCCCGACGACGGCTCGAGGCGCCGGGCGAGGAGGAGGAGGCGGAGGAGGAGGAGGAGGAGGAGCAGGAGCAGGAGCGGAGGAGGAGGGGGAGGAGGAGGTGGAGGAGGAAGAGGGAGAGGAGGAGGAGCAGGAGGAGGAGGAGGAGAAGGAGGAGGAGGAGGAGGAAGAGGAGGAGGAGGAGGAGGACGAGCACGAGGACGAGGAGGGCGGAGGAGGAAGGGGGGGATGGGCAAAGAATGCTCGACCCGCAGATCTGAGCGAACTATTGATTCACACCAGGAGCGTTCGCCTGGTGTCGGGCCCCGGGGCGATCACAAGTCGATCCTGCTCAAGAAGTGCCGCTGAAGTTGGGCGCGCATTCATGGGGGCGATAAATAGGAGGCAGCGAGGGCTGCAGAGAAGGGCCCTCCGGGGCCCCGAGAGGGGGCCCTTTAGGGCCTCAGAGGGAGCCTTTAGGGTTCGAAAAAGGGTAACTATCTTCCCCCTCCATTTTCTCGCCCCTCCACTCATTCGCGCCCAAAGAAGGATGGGGTCTGGAGCTCCAGTCGCTATGTTTCGCGATGTTGTAGTTTCGTTCGCAACATCGAATCGCAGGGGAGGCAGGAGGATTGAGGTTCCAGGATCGGGGATGCAGCCACGCTGCTGGCTTCCCCCCCTCCTCCTCCCCGCGTCGCCTCGCTGCATCGGGCGGCTCGCTAAAGCATGCCGATAAGCCCCGAATGGAACAATTACCTTGCGAAGTACCGGGCCCTTTCTCAACATGTGGCGACTGTACCCAGGACCCCTCAATACGAACGAACATGTTGAAGGACCCGCAGTGCGCAGGAACACACCTCAGTGCGCAGGAAGCCGCGAGGTCTCACCTGGGTCTGCATGGACCTCGACTCCGCTGGACCTCCCAGGAGCTCACGAAGGTGGCCTTCGCAACCCCCCCAGTGGGCCGCGAGGACTCGGCTGGATGTGCGCAGACCTCCAACCCAATGGACCTCCCAGCAGACCGCGCAAGTGGCAACGGGTGCGCACTTCGCAGCCCCCGGGGAGCCGCGAGGTCGCCACTGGGAGGAAGCAGGAGGAGGAGGAGGAGGAGGAGGAGGAGGAGGAGGAGGAGCAGGAGCAGGAGCAGGAGCAGGAGGAGGAGGAGCAGGAGCAGGAGCAGGAGGAGGAGGAGGAGGAGGAGGAGGAGGGAGGAGGTGTGTGTGTGTGTAGACCGCCACTCCGCTGGACCTCCCAAGAGCCCACGAACGTGTCGACGGCTGCGCAGCTCGCAGCTCCACAGGGTGGCGCGGGGTCCCGGCCGGGTGTGCGCACAGCTCCTCCCCGCTCGACCTCTCGGGAACCCACGAAAGTGTCGACAGCTGCCCACTTCGCAGCCCCCAGGGAGACGCGAGAGGGAGGAGGAGGAGGAGGAGGAGGAGGAGGAGGAGGAGGAGGAGGAGGAGGAGGAGGAGGAGGAGGAGGAGGAGGAGGAGGAGGAGGAGGAGGAGGAGGAGGAGGAGGAGAGGAGGGGGGGGGAGGAGGAGGAGGAGGAGGAGCAGGAGGAGGAGGAGGAGGAGGAGGAGGAGGAGGAGGAGGAGGGGGGGGAGGAGGAGGAGGAGCAGGAGCAGGATGAAGACGAGGACGCGAAGGGGAAGGAGGCGGGAGGAGGAGGATGCGGGAGGGAGGAGTGGGGGCCACACTGTGCTCCTTTCAAGACGAGATACCCCCCTGAGCTCCGACGTCTAGATGTTTTCAATACGGAGTCCCTGGAAATCTCCAACCATTCCCCAGGACCGGTTTTTCGTCCCGAGTCGTTTGTTGACGGCCCCAAAGCCTGGCGAGGGCCCCGAATTATAGAGGCCAAAAACTTAGCAACACCTCCGTCTTGGTTGTTTCAATTCGCTGGATCTCTGGGGTGCAATTCGCGTTGCGCTCAGCTGCCTGCTTCGTAATCGCGGGGTGTTCCGCGTGCTCACTCTGTTGTGGAATGTCTTAAGAGTCGCCAGTCGCGCGCTCTTCCGCCCACGTGTCCCGCAGGATGCACGGCTTAGTGGTGGTGGTGGTGGTGGACCTCTGGGTCTGAACTCTGCCCCGCAAGACCCGGCTCCAGGCCATACTTTTTGTGCCAGCCCCTCGCCGCGTGCGCGGTGCGGCAGCGCCGCAGGCGCCGCGTGCGCGGGTCGCCCGTGCACGCAGCCTGGGCGGCAGGGCCCACAACACATACACACAAAGAAATGCACACAGGTTCCAGGATTGCCCATACAGGAATGCACACAATTTCTTATACATAGGATTTAAAGAATATCGGATTATTAATACATGATGAATGTATGAATGAAAATATGCATGAACGCATCGATGTTTTTTATTACCAACCCCCTGCATGTTAAATACATGATCCGCACGCGGAGCATGTATTAAAAACGGCACTGTCTGTTTTCATATAGGTTGAATGTTCGTCTTCCCCCCGTGTCCCATATTTCCTCATGTCTTCTGGGGAAGCGACGATCACTTGTGTCTGTGTGTTTTCCCCTCCTGACTGCTCAACGCCGCATGGGCTGCCGAGGGGATGCGCGGGATCTGCACGGCGACCAGCGTGGATGAGATCGGGCCAAACCTGGCCTCGACTTGCCATCGTGCGGGCGTCCCCCCTCCCCCTGTGCATTTTGCTGGAACTCGTGCGTTGATTTTTTCCAAATGGCCCAAGAGGCTCCATCATGGTCCAGATTCTGGCGCCAGCCTCGCCGATAAAAATGCACGCGCCCGAACGATGCCAAGTACCAGCGGGCTTCATGGTCCCCAAGCGACTGAGGTGGCGTCAGATCCAAGCGAAGTGGGCTCCCCAGGCCAAACCCAATTTACTTTCCACTCAGAACCCCCCAATCCCCGTAGCAGCCTCCCCTCGCTGATCCAAGTGCAGTGCTGATCCAAGCGCAGTCTCCTCCCCCCAAGTGGATGAGCCTTCAGCGCACTTATATGCTAGGCCAGGCCAAGTAAAACCCAACTTGCCGTCCACTCAGAATCCCCCCAATCCCCGTAGCAGCCTCCCCTCGCTAAGCCAAGTGCAGTCTCCTCCCTCCCCCAAGTGGATGAGCCTTCGTGGGAGCCTCTGTGCACATCCGCGGCCATACCACAAACGTGATTTGGATTGGATTCCGTCCAGATCTTCATGCCACCCCTCCTCGCCCGTTCTCTCAGATTTCGTTTTGTGTTCGTCAAGGTGTCGACCACATCCGGCGACAAGCAGACGCGAGCCCCAACATCATAAGGAATCCTGAGACCCTGCGAAGCCAGAAGCAAGCCAGATGGGCATCGTTTTCGGCTCCCGCAGCTCACAGCGGCGCTCTCTCGCCCCACCGTGGGCCACGTTGCTGGATCCCACACGCCTCGCAGATCCCGCAGCACTCGCAGGCCCCGCCGCGAGAACGATGAAGTGGAACACCCTTACAATCGGGGCGTTGGCCTAAGGAACCCTCAATAAGGAACGAGGTTTTTTTTTCATAAAGGTAAACTTCGCTTCCCCATGGGAAACTTCAGGAAAACCCAAGGCAAACTGTGAAGCAATCGATGAACACCGAGCCCCCCCCCAACAAAAAGGGCTCCTTCTTCAGCGCCCCGACTGAACTCTGGAGTGGTCCCACCGTGGTGGTCCTCAGACTACCCTTCGACGTCGGAAGGGTGGGGGATGCCTTCGTCCCCAAATGGGCCCCGACGTAGGATGAGGAGCGCCAACTCGCAAGTCCCAGCCAAATACCTCGCACGCTTCGTGGCGGACGGATCCGCCTGGTAGGTGATCCATCCTGATTTGCTTGTCACTCGGGACTGACATTGTGCCGGGCGTGGCCGAACTCGGGGCAGTCCTGAGGAGGCACTGGAAGGAAAGACGTGAGAAGTTGCAGAACTTGCAGGGCACAGTGCACTGGCGTCGCGTGGATGTCGATACTGCACCACCCTGGTAGATGGTGAGGAGTTTTTGCCGTTGTCGCCCATTTTCTTGTGCCATTTGGTAAACACACGTTTTGACGGTGCGTCGACGTCAACGTTGTCGACCTCTTCGCTGTCGAGTCTGGTCTGGCGTACCTGTTGGAGGCACCGTCGGTAGGGGACACCTCTAGCTGGACGCCGGATGTGCCGCTGTAGGTGAGGAAGGTCAAGCCCAGGGTCGTGGCCGTGGCGTGGGCCTCCATAGCGTTCTGCACGAAGTCGCTCCAAACCAGCTTGGGGTGTGAGACGGCATGAAGGCTCTGGAGAGCCTGGGAATACTGCGGGTGCAGATTGGCGTGGAGGGCCTAGAAACGGCCGAAGCACCACCAGGGGCACCGTGCATCGAGCGCGGCACAAGCTCTTCGTGTAGGCTGCCGGGATCACCCACAGGTGTCGCAGGTCGTCCCACGGGTTCCACAGGTCCCTCGGGTGCCACGAATCAAAATTCCCCCCAAGTGTCCCGCAGGTGTCGCAGGTCTTGAAGGTCCCACGGGTCCCTGGAGTCCGACAGGTGCCGAAGGTCTCAGAAGGTCCCACGGGTATCGCAGGTCGGTCACCCAAGTCCCCCAGAGCGCACAGGTCCCTCGGGTCACGCGGGTTACGGAGGACCCACAGTTCCCACAGGCGTCGCATGTCTCACAGGCCCCACAGGTCACAGAAGTCCTCCAGATCGCGAAGGTCCCGCCCAGCAGATCCCACGGGTCCCGCAGGTCCACAGTTCCCACCCGCCACACTGGTTCCACAGGTTCCACAGGCCACAGAAGCCCCACAGGTTTCACAGTTCGACAAATTGCACAAGTCACACAGTTCCCACGGGGAAGTTCCCCAGGTCCCACAGGTCACCTTTCCTGCTATCAGGGTGCCCTGCCAGGGTGTTGGAGTTCCAGGTCGGCGATGCCACGCATCCGCGGATAGAGAATAATCAGCACAGTGGGAAGGGATCGGAGGGAGGGGTAGGCTGTTAACTGTGGCGCGAGCGCACAAAGCTTGACGCATACCCCTCTCCCATACCCATCTTGACCATACCCCTCTCCTCCCCCCGCCCCGTCTCCCCCTTCTCCCCCTCCTGTTCTCCTCACTGCAGACGCCAGTCATTGCCCTGGTGGCACAACGAGTACCATGTCAAGTACGTGGACAACTTCAAAACATGATCTGGAGAAGGGCCCAACCCTGAGCAGCTGCGTCTGGAGCAGGGCGTGCCCCTCTCTTCAGTTCATACGCGCCGCGAGAGCCGTAGAGCTCGCGGCCGCGGAGAAGTCACGCAAGGGTGCGCCAAGCTCTGTGCGAATCGTGTGCCGACATGGCCGGAGGGCCGCAGGTGCTCTGTGTGAGACGCACAGCGTGTGAGGAGTGCGCCGACACTGTCGCGGGGCGGAACGCGGGCGAAGCTGAAGGTCGAGCTCCATGTGGGCCAATACCCGCGTGGGTGGTGTGCCGGAATGGGCCAGAGTCTGCATGCCGACGCACCCACTGGGGCCGTAGGTGGGTTCCCCAATGGGGCACGACACGAATGAGGGGTGTGCTGGATTGAGGAGGGGGAGGAGGGGGGTGGAGGGCGAGGAGGGGGAGGCGGAGGGGAGGAGGGGAAGGCGAGGAGGTTGAGGAACAGGAGGAGGAGGAGAGGAGGCGAGGAGGGGGAGGAGAAAGGGGAGGAGGGGGGAGGAGGGGGAGGGGGCGGGTGCAACCGCTGGGGCTTTAGGTGGAGCTCCCTATGGGGCCACGGAACGTGTGAGGGGTGCGCCAACGTGGATGGTGGCGGCATGCGGGCGCAGCCACTGGGGCCTTAGGTGGAGCTCTCCATGGGGCCACGAAGCATGTGAGGGCTGTGCCAAAGTGGGGGTGGCGGCATGCGGGCGCAACCAATCGGGCCTTCGGTGGGGCTCCCTTTGGGGCCACGAAGCGTGCGATGTGGTGCGCCAGAGTTAGGTGGTGGCGGCTTGCGGGCGCAGCCACTGGAGCCTAATGAGGATGAAGCTGCTGGAGGAGGAGCGGGACGCACGGCGCCTGCAGAGACAAGACGAGGACCCAACAGCACAGGGCCTTCCAACTCGACCGAACTCGAGGACCCAAGACAGACAAAACGAGGAAACAATTCGATCGAACACCAGCACTAGAACCGACAGCGACGCCACAGACGACCGAAGCGAAGCGTCCAGATGCGACCGACTGCGACGCAGCCGAACCGACCGAATCGTG